GTATTATTTTGAGTAAAATTGTTCTCTTCTAGACATTAGCATAAACATAATTGATTTTTGCTAATTAAAACCAAATTACATAGTCTTAACAGTTTTGTTACTTTTTTTGTTATTAGCTTTCTTACATTTTAGCCTTCGTATTTATTTATATTGATTAGTATTAGTGTTATTACACTGTTCTTTACTTCACTTTTACTATTAGACCAGACGATAATCGCTTCGAAATTTATGAAAAATGATAATTTCACTATGTGGTCACTTGGTATGGTAAGCTAAATTTTCTATTAAACAACTTAGAAAAATGTTTAATAAATACTTTTTTTCTTCTTTTCTTTGCTATATCAGGAAGCAGCTTTTTTGGAAGACAAAAAAGTTTTCCGGTTATATTTCCTATCAGACAGAATTAATTACAACTTCTTCTTCTTCACTGGCTTTACAACTAGGGGTGAGTCTTCGCCGCATCCACTATTGCCCTCCATCCTCTACGATTTTGCGCTTCTATTTCCCATTAATGTACCCCAATTCTGGATAAATCGGCTTCAACATCATCCTTCTATCTTTTTCTCGGTCGGCCTACTGATCTTCTACCATCTGGTCTTTCAAAAAACACTGTCTGTAACACTCTGCAGATCTTTTCTGCTATTTCCCGCAGCTATCCATTCTGGGACCTCTTTTTGCATGTGATTGTCAGCTGTGATTATCGCCCCCAGGTATAAAAAGGTAGAAAAAGGTAGAAAAAACAAACAAATGGATTAGAAGCAAAACCAAAGTAAAAGAAACTGGAGAACATGCTGCCAAATTAAAATGGAACTTCGCAGGACACAATGGAGACCATGGTTAGGAAAGAGAAGCAGAGGAGGACCACAAATGAGATGGGCGACTGATATTAAGAAGATCGAGGACACAACTGGAATCAAGTGAGTCAAAATAGAAGACACTAGATTGATTTGAGGGAGGCCTATGTCCAAAGTTGGATTACTTAAGGCTGAAGGAGAAGAAGAGAACCTGAGTCAGTGGAGTTCAGTACTTGGGATGGAGGGTTAATCGCTAGACCACAGTGGACTCAACGTGTCATTCATGCGGCACTGAGTCAAAGGTTTCCTTTTTTTGGTATATGCTGTTAGTAGAATTGGCTGTGTCGATGATAAGTTTTTCTTTGCAGCTCATGAAACCCTTAGCGCACAATTTCTGTAGAGGCTCTATGATATTGTTTAGAGCACAGTATTGATAGATACGCTCAGCTACATAGGGCGTGATCAATTTATACAAATTATTGAGTCAAATTGCCTTTTGCGAGAACTTTTTCACTTTTCTCAAAATTTAAATTAGTAATAAACATGCTCTCATAATAATTTTTGATACAAATGACTTGACTAATTGTTTATTTTAGCTGAAAAATTATAACGTTATATATCTACAGAATACTGCAAATTTTAGTAACAACTATAGGGAAAAAAAGTTTTGAACTTGAAAAATTTAATTAATAAAAAGAATTAATTAAAATTAATTAACCTTTTTTAATAATTGTCAGGTCTTATAGGATAATAATTGTTGTAATTGAATTAGATATAGCATTCTAGATTTAGCTCGGTAAATATCAGTTAAAGTAAATAGTTATTAGGCAAACATAAACGAGTTTGGATATTAGGTACATATCGAAAGACAGCTAACAGGCATAAGCAGAGTTTAATGAATGTCAAATATAAATAGTAGTTTGATTATCGTATCGAAAGACTATCCTGGTAACGCGCTACGTCGGTCGTCCTCTTGTAATAGAAACGCGTGTTTGTTTGCTGTAGATTAAAGGTGAGTCGCCTAAACGAATCTTTCGATGGGAACTCTACCGTAGTCGGAATCAAATGAATCAATTTCGATATCGATTCACAAACACTACATTCTACCGCATTGGTCATATCGTGGCAAGAGATTTTTAAAACATTTTAATAATAAATGATTGAAGTACTTCTTCTTCTTCTTTAGGTGCCGTCTCCTCTAAGGAGGTTGGTAATTTCACTTTTGAGATTGCAGCGAATTTCAGCGATTGCAGATTTCTTCCGAATATAGATTGAACAATAAGGGGGAGAGTATGCAACCTTGCTTACGCCTCTTTTTATCTCTACTTCCTCCTAAAGTTATTTGCCTACTCTGACTTTTGCTGTTTGGTTAAAGTAGAGATGAGTTATTATTCTTAAGTCTTTTTTGTCAATGTGTTTATCTTTAAGTAACTGTATAAGACGGTTGTGTCGGACCTTATCAAACGCCTTATTGTAATCAATAAAACAAACATAGATTGGTTGGTTTACATCCAAGCATCTTTGCATGAGGACGTTAAATCCAAATAATACCTCTCGTGTACCCATGGCATACCTAAATCCAAATTGGGTTTCAGTGATGTCTTGTTCCACTTTTCTGAAAATTCTTAAATGGATAATTTTTAAGAATATTTTTAGTGTGTGACTCATTGGACTAATTAAACGGTGGTCATTACATTTCCTTGCATTAGGTTTTTTTGGTAATGTAATAAATGTTGATTTGAGCCAATCTCTCGGAATAATACCCGTATATAAGTCTACTAATACGTTGATCTAATCTTCTGATATTAATTTAATTATTTCAATTGGAATTGTGTCAGTCCCCGTAGTTTTATTAGATTTTGCCAGATTTATTGTATGTATTATTTCATCCTTAGTTATATTTGGACCTATATCATGTTCCTAGCAATCGTTCATGCTATCTTGTTGTGTCTTGTCATCCTCAAACCATTCTTGGACGTATTCTCTCCATCTGTTTAGTTTGCCTTTGATATCAGATATTATTTTACTATTCGTTTCAACCAGGGTGTTACTATGATTGGACCGTCTTATACCTGCTAATTCTTTAATTTTTTTGTGCACTTCAAAACTATCATGATTTCTCTGGAGTTCTTCTACCTCTAAACATTTGTCGTTTTACCACTTCTCTTTAGCTGCCCGTATTTTTATCCTGATCTCCTTGTGTGTAGCATTGTATTCGTTTATATTTTTGTTTTTGTATGATTTTCTTTTGTCCATTAGTTGCCGGATCTCATCTGTCATCCATGGAGTCTTAGCTTCATCGTTTTTGTGACTACTCAGCGTATCTTTAATTGGCATCATTAATATGTTCTTAAATGTTTCCCATTTTTCGTTGGAACCTTCATTATCAATGATTATTGTTTTGCTTAACACCTCGTTAATTTTCAACGTTAATTCTCCTTTTATATTCGGGTGTTTTAGCAGAGTGCTTATTTGTTGTTTGGTGCCTTTTGTTGTTGTTTTATTTTCTTTAGGTGAATTTCGAATTTTACGATTACTGTATTGTGGTCTGATAACACATCTGTTCCTGGATATGTCTTTGCCCATTTGATGGAGTTACGGTATCTCTTATTGATAAGGATATAATCTATCTGGTTTCTGATAATTTTTTCTTTGCTATCCATAGCTGATTTCCATGTAGGTATATAATCTACAAAGTGGTAACTGAAAGAATATATTTGTCGCTATCATTTCAAACTCCTGACAGAATTCCGTCAGTATTTCCCCTCTTTCGTTCCTCATTACTAGCCCGAATTCACCTAAAATGTCTTGGAATTTACCTTTTCCTAATTTGGCATTGAAATCCCCCATTGTTGTTATTATACCTCTATTATTGGTGCTTTCTAGTGCTTTTTTAATGTCATTGTAGAACTCTTCTATTTCATTTTCATCTTTATCTGCAGTGGGGGCCTACACCTGTATGATATTAAGAATTCTATGCGCTGTTTAGGCTGTTTGGACTGTGAAAGTACTTACTAATTAATAAAAAAGTTGACATCTTTTATATCATTTTCTGACCTCTCAGATGATATGAATATATAAAAGAAGATTCTTTGTTAGTTATTATCGAAACAAAAGACGAATTATTGTTTCTGCAGTAGTTGTGAGTGGTTTCAAAACTGATAAGTTTACAATCGTATACGTTGACATAAAATCACAAACTCGAACGGTTTTATTAGATTTTCTTGTATGTTTCCAAATGTTTAATGGTTTAAGTCATTACACCTGTTAAAAAAAGTAAAATGTATGTAAACTATTTTCTAATAAATTATATTATTCTAAATTTGTATGCAAACACTAAATTATTAAAACAGTACTGTGATTTAAAACATTATATTAGTTATTAGTTTAATTTGGACGTGCAAATAATCGTTGTTTTCGAAAAATGGTAAATTATTAGCATCGGTTGATTTTGATATATGTGTGAAACCTGTTAAAACAAGTTTATTTAGAAGGGTCATGTAGGGTTGTTGAAACAACCATATTATTATATGTTTATTTAATACGATCAAATAAACTCTATTAGTTAACGACAAAAAAGGATGGCTAGAATCAATATAAAAAACGCCAAAACATTTTCAGATACCTAAACTTATATTCAATAAAAAGTAACAAGAAACATAAGACGCTTACTTACATTAATAATTTTACATAAAACATATTTGACGGATGTTAAACTTCCAGTTTTTAAAAATATTTTTACAAAAAGTAAATAGCTTCTAATAATGCATACATGACTTTTCCACACATCTTTTTCTAGTTGCATTGAAAGAAGTTGATTCCGAGTAGATACTCGACATAGGGAAATGAAATCAATATAATAAACGATGTGGCCCAACTCTATTGTAGATTGAACTTGAGAGGGGCAAGTGACGGCGACTAGCACCCTGTGTATTTATAAACGTGCGGGAGACATTCAGCAGACTACATTTCTAAACAGCGAGTGCTATAGACAAGCGTATATTTTTATACGCCGGCACGGTCCTTAATAAACATTTGATGTCGGTCTCCTTATTTATTTGAACTATTTTGCGAACTGGTCTATTATTGAAAATCCGTTGATAACTTTATTACATAAACTTTTACCACTTTCGTATTGATAATCTAAATTTTATATCTGATATTTTATATTTAACATACTGACGCATATCTAAATTGTTTCAGCAGACACACGGCACCACTCTGGACCGATGGCGCTTCCGTACTCTTGAGGAGGAACATCCGATCCTCCAACAGTTTTTTAGTATTGAAGATACAAGAGCCATAACGCAACACTTGCTCTTGGCGCAACAGGCACTTCAGGAACCAACACTGGAGCGCCTCGAGCGTCATCACGTACCGCACCCACGTCGGGCGATGTCTCCAAACCATCGCCCGTCTCCTCCAACGCTACCAGCTTCCGCTTTCCATCCTACTAGATTACCGCCAACGATGTCTCCTCATCAAAAGCATCCTCTGAACTTCATTAAGCTACCGACGCCAAATGGACCTATATCATCCAATTCACCACCAAGTAGCATCACTGCATCTTCTTTGAATTCTTCACCTTTAAATAGACTTCAAAATATGCAACATTTTAACTTTCGAAAACTTGGCGCAGGCTTGTCCGCATTTCCCACACGAGTAAGTCCGGAACAAAGAAGGATGTCTGAAAATGAATCTTTGGGTTTGAATCTTACCAGAGCAACATCTATATCATCCTGTCTGCCGCCACCTCCTCCACCACCATCATCTCGAAGCCATCCAACGTCAGATTTAGTTGCAGCTTCTGTGAATTCTCTTGCAGCTGCTGGTTTAGTAGCATCTACCTTTCCTGGTCTGATGTCCGCTAGAATGTCCACGGGAAGTAAATCTCCTTCTAGTGCTGATGTTTTAAGTAGTGGTAATACAAATAGTGAAGAAGATGATGATGGTGATGAAAATTCTCATAGCGTTTTAAATCTAAGTAGAGATAGGGACGCTTTAAGAACTCCGAGACAAAATCGCATTTTACCGGGTCGAAAACCGTCCACGCCCACAAAGCGAACGTGGGGCTCGCCAAATTTACCTCTTAATTTAGGAACTCAATTTATCAATCCAGCTACTGGGAAGAAAAGAGTTCAATGTAACGTTTGTTTGAAAACATTTTGCGATAAAGGTGCTTTGAAAATACATTTTTCCGCAGTACACTTACGTGAAATGCACAAATGTACAGTGGAAGGATGTAATATGATGTTTAGCTCAAGAAGATCGCGAAATAGGCATAGCGCCAATCCTAATCCTAAACTACATTCACCCCACCTGAGAAGAAAAATTTCACCTCACGATGGCAGAAGCTCTCAAGCACATCCTATACTAATACCTCCACAACCGGGTCTTTCTCTTCCTGCGGCCACAGCTTTAAGTCCATTGAATCCTTTTGGCCCATTTCCTCTTTTAACTCCGCCACCAGACATGAAATATCACTCATTGCCGTCTATGGACTTTAAGCAAACTTTAGATTTAAGTATCCAGCGAATGAAAGAAAATAAACTTGCTTATGCAGACTTTGTTGCAAGTCAAGCACTACATAACCAACAGCATTCTGAAGAAGATGACGATGATGATGATGGAATCGTTGTTGTGGGAGGAGACGATGAAGACGATCAAGATAAAGATAGAAGGGAAACAACAAATGGTACAAATAACGTCCAAGACGTACCTGAAGATTTAGTAATGCCCGCTAAAAAACAAAAAATATCTGTATCGGACGTAGATGAAGACATGACAAGTAATATCGACAGCAACGAAGACTCACTTAGTGTAGTTGATACGCAAAGTCTTAAAGATGAACCTAGTATTCAAATAAATAAACGAAAGAGAAAAAGCCAAAATCCAACTAGATGTGCAGTACCTGTAATGATGGAGGATGCTACTAGCGATGGCGATTCTTCTAACGATGTTTTTTCCGAAAGATTAGCTGATCAAGTAAAACAGGAACAAGAAGAAAAAGAAGAGAAAGAAAAAATAGTGAAAGTTGAGGTAGTACCTGTAGAAACCAAAAAAGAAATGGATATGTCGGACATTCCTTTAGATTTAGGAAAACCAAGTGCTGATGTAAATGCAAATGAAACAGAAAAAGTGCTTACTACAGAAATTAAAACAAGCATAGCCCCATTGTTTACTATAGATAAACTCAAAAAAGAAAAACCTCATCAAGAGCTGGAAGTTCAAGATGAACCAGAAGAAAGACCAGCTAGCTCGATTGAAAGCAATAAAAGTGACGAATCATTTGATTCGACAAATCCGTTAAGGCAACTAGAAAGTCTTTCACATGGGCCATTCAACGAATTTATGGCTAGAGGATTACATTTAGGTTTACCAGGTCAGCCTCCTCCATTTCCTCCTTTGGGGTTTATGATGAGTGCTGGCCCTCCAAGCCCTACTCGATCTCAAACATCCTCTGGAGACAGTAGCAATGGTAGAGATTCTCCAGACGATAGCAGTCAGCATCAATTGTTTGGACATTTCGATAATGGTCAGTTTATTAGTGGTATGGATGTTCCAGTAGATAAAGATAATCCAAGGAGATGCACTGCTTGCGGTAAAATTTTCCAAAATCATTTTGGGGTTAAAACGCACTATCAAAATGTTCATTTAAAACTAATGCATAAATGCAATGTTGATGGATGCAACGCAGCTTTTCCTTCAAAACGGAGTAGAGATAGGCATAGTGCAAATTTAAACTTACATAGAAAGCTTCTTTCTACAACTTCCGACAAAACTGCTGCTGCATTATTTTTAGACAAATCTCCATTTGCAACATTAACGAATCCAGCAATACATGGAGATTTTCTCACAAGATTATACACTGATGAAGCTTTAAAAGGACACCATTTACCTCCTCCTAATCTAGACCAATTAATCCTTAATGGTGACCGAATACCTCATCCCCCACTATTATTTCCACCTCTGGGTGGTCTTCCGTTTCCTCTAGGAAATTTCAACCACTTTAGCCAATTTAATGGATCATCATTATCTACAACGCATAAAGAACGTTCCTCCAGTTCCAATTCGCCAGTCTCTGGCTCACCTCCACCAACAAATTTGTCGTCTGCTCCAACCAAATATATCCACTGTGTCGAAGAAGATCTTCCAACACCTGATAAAGAAAGCAATCTTCCATGTCGACTGTGCAAAACCGCTTTTAGTACTGCGTCACAACTTAAAGACCATTGCGAGAAACATCATATATCCGATATGTTTAAGTGTACTGTGATGGGTTGTCCTAAACTGTTCCTATCGCGAACGAGAAGAAACATCCATTCGGAGAATGAGTCTCTTCATATTAAATCCCCATCCAAAGAGACTGAACATTCGTGACCTTTAAAAAATACACTTGACTTTAGTGCGATTCCACTGTGGTGGTGATTTGATAGTACCTACTTATCAACGATGTCTTAGTCGCTAGAATATGGTTGTCGTTTTTATCAGAAATCTTTACTTTTCTAAAAATTATTAATATCGATACTATTATAATGTTAAACATACTCGTTAAGAGATAGATAAGTGTAGTGAAATACTTAGCTCCTTATATTTTTGCTTTTCACAACCACAAAATGTATAAACTGTCTATTATATACTTAAAAGTAAATGCTCAAAAGCTCCTCTGATGAAAAATAAGAATAATGTCATTGTATAATTGTTATAATGGCTCATTCTAAAATTGATTTTTATGATACAGCTATTAAATTATCTAGCAATTTTCCTAATCAATAATATCCAAAGAATATAGTTCTCCTCTCGTCACTTACTAAATGTTCTCGTCCTTGTATAAATAAAAAAAACTTACAAGATAATACTGAAAACATCTACCACACAAGAAAAGAAAAATTAACTTTAAAATGAAATTCAAATTTACAAAAATTCCAAAATAAAACAAACAAACTAATGTAAAAATGCAATAGACGGACATGGTATATTTCACATTTACCACAAGTACGTCGAGAAAAGCGAACAAGAAAGAAGCATATAAAAACAGATGTTTTTTACAATACTCACCAAAAAGGTTAATATAATTTTTTATTTATATGAATCAGATTCCACAACATGGGTCTTTAACTGATCAAGACTTTTTCGAACTTACATATATTTATATTAATATTACAATTCCGTACTTGAATTTTTAGCATTATTATTCTTTCTGAGATTTGAATCACACCTAGCACTGATTTTCTAATAGTGTTGCTTATGATGAAAGCTACTCCGTATCGATGATCAGTTTTGTCTCCTCCAGTGTAATAAATAATGTGACCATTGTACATCGCTAACCCCAAGTATATCTATATTTAGCCTCTCTTTCTCTTAATAACATTGTGTAGTTTTCCTGGCTGATACATACTTCTTATTATTCGGCGGGATATTCATTGTTCTAAAAATACAGTGATGACATGTTCTATTTTTCTGAAGAGACATTTTTCTGAACTACATGCTTCAAAGTACTTCATTTGCAATAAACTTGTGTTAAATGTAGTCCACCATAGACAACCCATTCAGTCTTTTATGATTTTAATGTCAGAATTTTATAGACATCTATTTAAGCGCTTTAAGATTCGAGCTTTTGAGCGATTGTCAAATTATGCAATAACCAACTTGAACGAATATTTTGTGTGTGTATATATGAAAAAGTAAAAAGTTTTTTTGTTGATAAATCTCTAATGTCTCCAGATAGTAGAGATGAACAAAATTGGTTTAGTGTTACAAGATCATAATTTTATAGTATTTAATTACAGTCAGAAAATCAAAGACAGCCATATTCAGGTATGACTAAGCTGATTTAATATATGTGATTTTTAGAATAGTTCATTCTTCTGAAAGCCAGTTCTATATACTTATTTATTTGAGAGAATCTGCACTTATATTTCTTTAGTTAGAGACTTGTTTTAATAATTTTATCAACCAGTTTGGTGAATACTCAAATGTATATATACTATTTAGCCTAGTGATCTCTTTTTTAGTTGTGATTTTTGCAAAAGCTATGTTTCTATTTGCAATTACAAATGTAAAAAATCCTTTAATCAGAGGTGCAAGAACGAATCAACTTACTGTAATAACCGGCTAAGTTCAACATACAAGCTATACAGTCTTTGTGTGGTATAATGTAGCATTAATGGGAAATCACAAAACTTTCACATCAAAAATACTGATTATCCAAATAAAATATATATAAACTGCTGCGTTAGCCTTTTTATTTTTCTGTACACCGAGCTGGGGCTCGAACCCACATCCACTGAACAATTCGACAGTGAAGCGAATGAGAATCAGCCGCCTAGCCCGCTTGGCTATCTGACCAACCAAATAAAAAACTTCTTTTGTTATCCACTCATTTGAAAAGAAAGTGTTGTTTTCTGATTCTTTCTTTATGCTTACTGATATTTGCCTCTGTTTAATTTGTTTGGTCGGATCCTGCATGTGCTCCAGGTAATGCAAAAATATTAGCAATGGCATTCCAGTACCATCTATTAATTTTCACGTAATCTATTTGATTCTTATGATGCCCTGATGTCCATCTTAAGGCGACCTCCATGAGCTCCTTCTCCTCTCCTCTCTCCTGAGCGGTAACTTATACCAAGTATTCTTTATGACTACATCTTTGTTGTGACAGTACTGTATCAATATATCCCATCTGTCATTTCTCTGACCAAGACCATATATTCTAACTAGGTGATCTAACCTGCTCCAACTTTCGCATTAAAATTTCATACGATGTTAATTTCGTGATTCTTAGTCATCTTTAAGGCTTCATCTAGCTGTTAATAAAATCGCTCTAGTTCTCCTTCTGAGTTATCTGCTGTAGAGGAGTACGTTTGTATAATATTTATATTAACTTTCCAAGCTACTGAATGAGTATGAATGTTTCGCAGACTCCATCAGAACTGCAACCCATGTCTGTGGTTAGGATGACCGCATGAAAGTAAAAGGTTTTTCCACTGGTACTGATTATTTCTGTGCCTTTCCATCACAATTTGCTTATGCTGAGAATATCGATGTTAATTCTGATCATTTTCAGAATTTGATTTTATAGTTTGCAAGCTGCAAATAAGTTGCTGACATTCCACGTAGCTATTTCGTATATCTTATCAAGTTGTAACCGGAAGATTGTTCATACTCCTTGACCATTCAAGGGGACTAGGGGCTGTTTGTTTTGGTTCTTTCAACCTGACAAGAAAAATCTACGGACGGATGTCTTTCTCTTGTTTCCTACTTGCTTGTCACAACGCAGTACCGTAGCTCTCTAACTGTTTCAGTCTCACCTACGGTATTCTAGTAGGAGCTGGGTTTAGGATCATATTTCCTTTGCGCTTAATCCTAGTAATGGGGTCGCTGCTGACCTTCACCCGTATCCCTGAGCAGGGGGTCATGTTATATCCCACGGAACTAACTCATTCCCTATCTGAGCTTAGCCATCTACTAGATCCGACTTACCGTCGCACTCTTGCGACTGAATCGGGCCAGACAGGAATTACTGATATGAGCGGCAGTGACTCACTCGACACTGAGGAGTAGGCAGATTGAGACCTCAGTGCTGTTTGACGGTTCTTGTATTTATACAGAACACGATACTGGTACGTTATGAGTGAGGGGAGTAGGCAGATTGAGACCCCGAACTCGAACGGAACCGTATCCATCTTGAAAATGGCTCCAAATTTTTTAATTCCAAAATAATTTAAATAATCTTTCTAACTTCAGAAAATTGATTTGCAACAACTGAATTTTTGGCTTATATTTTGAGCTTAGTTGGATCTGAAAGAAGCTGGTAATGACAAGGATGTACCGTATCTATTTTCTGTCAAAATACATGTTGCTTAAAATTTATAAATAACTCATTCATACGTATAGCAATCGATGTATAATCTCATATAATCAACAGGTGATACAAGTTAGTAATCTCAAAAAGAATGTATATTTAATGTGCAATAATTTTGTAAATATGCTGTAGTGCTTGTAAATGTATAGATGTAAATATACCAACAATGTTAACCGAAAGGTATCCAATTGTTCCATTTTAAATCAATGTATACGAAAATATTTTAAAACCTCAATATATTTGTTTTTTTATAAAACGACTAGAATGCTTCTATCCACACCAATTAAACTTTTTTAAAATATCAAACACTTACAGTTTTATACTAGTTTTTTTTAACGTCCTAATTTATTTTCAAAAACAATTGATTTAATTAATAGAAAAATGAACATGCAAAATGTACATAATTTATAATTTTGTGATGAAATTATTTTGACAGTGTAAACACAACTTCACACATGAGGCTCCTTCTTAATCTTCGGTTGCTTAGTAGAAATTTTTTCATGAGGAACTGGCTTGTACTCATATGAGCGACTAGGAGAAACGTATTCCATACTCTGCTCATACGCAGGAATTCATTTATAAAATGAAAGGAACAATGAAGGTATTGTTAGTTTGATATGTATGTGTGAACTGTTGGAATATTTTGATTTGACATGTTTTAAAAAAATGTTAGAAAAATAAGAGTTTTTGACAATCTTGTCTCAGTTGGAAAAAAATATTTCGGCCAAGTAACTTTTGTTGCAGATTCGTTTAAATTGACACTTTTTGTGTCAATTTATACATCTGTGTTATAAACCGAATGAAATCAGCTGATTTCGTTCAATTTCATCTCAGGCACAAATTCTGCCATATGGATTGAGCGTGGAATACGATCCTTCGGTTAGTCTCTTGTGCATAGCCTTGCAATGTACTTCATTGAAAAGTTGGATATACTTATTTTACTTTTTTTATTTTTAACCCTCTACTGCAGTGGTTCTCAACCTTTTTGTGGCGACGGAACACTTTTAATTACCGCAAAAAAATTGCGGAACACCAAAGCAATAACATGCATATATTGATAACCAAATTAGGATTAGCACATAAATTCTGTAATAAACTTTATTATACGTACTTAAATTTGTAAAATTTTACTTAAAATATGAAAACAAAAAACATTTTTAAAATTAACAAAAGCGTAATTCTCAAAATACATCATGAGTAAATACTTCAAATTAGTGAGACACTTGTGCCTGGTGTCGTTTGCAAATTTGCTCAATATCAGGCCTGATGTGGGAAAGAGCTACTCTCATTTCTTGTTCTAAGTTTAGCAGCCTTTCCCGTTTCTTATTTTTAATGTTTGTTAAAGATGAGAACCCAAATTCACATAAATAGGACGTTGAAAACTGCATTAAAATACTAATCGCTTTTTTGGCAAGAAGTGGATATTCCTCTTGGACCAAGATCCAAAATTACTGAACATTCACTTCTGAAAACTTAATTTTCAGAGTACGATCAGATGACAACGAAATAAATTCTTCTTCTTGGTTCAGAGAAAACTGGAAATTGGCTGTATTACTTGTGCTAAAAGGACTTCTTATCCAGTCATATTTTTCTACGTTCAGAGATGGAAAATACCTGGCAATTGTCTCCTCTAATAGTGATAAGTGTTCTGTAACTATATGCGTGATTTCTTGTTCTTTATCTTCATCACCTTCATTCTGAAGCAGTGGAAACATATCCATTTTTTTTTGTCTCTAAAATGCGCTTCTTCCAAAATGACAATTTTTTCTGGAAAGCTGACAGCTTGTTCGTGGATGTTAAAATATTTTCATTTTTGCCTTGCATACTTGAGTTAACGCCATTTAAATAATTAAAAATATCGGCCAAATATGCCACTTTAGTGCACCATGCATCATTTTCAAAATATGTGGTAAATGTGTCATTACCTTCTTCTTGGAAAAAAGTTAACACCAACAAACATTCATACTTTGATTCCATTGAGATGCAGAGTTGTTTAAAAAGACGGGTTTTTAG